TTGATCGATGGTCAAGGCTTTTCTATGCATTCCATACTTAGTCTGAGGAGAGTAAGAACTCGTTGAAAACGCGTTGCTCCGCCCCTGAACAGATCGCACGCCGCTCATTCAACGGAATGTTGGCAAATGTGCGCTTGGATTGATCGCACCTAAGCCTTAAATGTCTGACTAAATGGTTATTCCTGTTCCCATGACAATAATAATTATTACACACTAATCACTTAATTATATCAGCACATTCCACCGGTCCCATCTATTACTCGCTAGCTCCGCCCATCACAAAAACTACGCCCACATATCGAAAAGGTAAACGAGCATTAACGACTTCGCTCTTGCTGGTGTCAATCGATAATCTCCTATGTTTCCACTTTTTATACTGTCCAGGCATGTCTTCAGACGCTTTATCTTTCCGATTATGTAAGGCCAACCACTCTCCAAGTATATAGTTTTGCCAGACCGGACAGTTCTGGTACCAAATGCTCAGCTGTGGAGGGCTAAGAGGGATAAATACAATAACGAAGATATAGAAGTGTCCTTGACTTAAAAGGTGTTTATCCCCCTACCCAAACGGAACCAATCAATAATAGAATTCATTAATGTTGACAGAGTGGCCGAAAGAACACATTGAGCAAATATTTGATATATTCGATAAGCGCAAGTAAACAAGAAAGGTGAAGAAGGTGTTCACCCAGGGGAGATCATGGTACTTAGAATAACACTCACGCGTACATAAATGTACATTCCTTTTCCGTGAAACTAACCAAAGATGTACTGAATTCCTTCGAGTATCGAAAAGCAAGGGTACTCCGATTTGGAACGGTGTTTGGTGAAGAGAAAACTCTCACATGCGCAAGATCCTGGCATCAAATCCTTTCGGAACTCATTTGGGCGGATCAACCTAGTCTCCGCTTTTTTGTGAAATTGTCTAGACGTTCATCAATTGTGAATATCAGACTTTTTACTCGTTCAGAGTCGTCTGAGAGATTAAAGAAACTAATTCTTTCACATGATGCCCTTTAGTGTAGTAGTATGCGTCAGGACCGCATCCAAAGACCACTACTACTCTCGAAAAAGCCCAGTACTCCTCCTCCTAAAAGGGATAAACCGGGAGCAAGTACTAATCACTCATTTCGCCAAATGTTTTTCAGCTGATTCACTTTAAGGTTGAGCGGAATGCTTTTTATTCGTATCGGTGTGGCATGCGAGATTTCTCATTTGACATATGTTTTCACATGAAAACTTCTTGAATAATGGCCTCCGTTCTCCTTCAGAATGGCCTCATAGACTTCGCATTACCCATTTATAGTTCCTAGTTTTCGATTCAGAACATTCTACTCCGCTGGCCACATGTGTGAGTGGGATTCCATGTTGTTCCATGGGTGCCAAGACGTCTCAAAAGTTTTGGGAAATTCTGGACCCAGACGTTGTACCTAAAGCTGGAAAACGACTTTTCGCCAATTTTTGCCAGCTTTATCCTGGCTTTACTGAGATGAGAATTACGGTAATTGAACAATTTCTTGTTACAAGTCGTTTGCTCGGGAACCCGAATACTAGCTTCTACACAGCCTCGTAAGAGGCGCTCCTAGCCCAGCTGAGGGTTTGTGGATTGACTCTATCGACTCTATCCTATCGGCTCAATTGAACTCTTCCCATCTTCATTTGGTTAGCTTGTTCTGATCAAATGATAACTACCAAAATTTTTCTTGCTAGCCCAGGCACATGGCATGGTTCCGGGGACCTTTCAGATCCCGGACTAGACAAAGCGAACAACTCGCCCTTCCCGATCTATTTGTAGGTCCTTAGTGAACCGAAAAAGTAATTTTCCACTGGATGGCTTTGTTTACTCATACTCATAAAAAGAATTCGTGTCCGTTGCCATGGAACTAAATAAAATCAGCCTCATTCGAGCTGTTTTTAAATGGGTTACCAGAAATGAATACGTTACTGCTTTTTTTCACAGTTGTCTGAAGGCTCCTTCTGCGTAGTATTGGAAAAATGAAAGAACACTTTTGTTGATTGAGGTTTCCCTCCTTCTGAATCGCTGAGTATCCTTCCGCGTTCTTCTGGTTTCTTTCAGAAATACTTCTGTGGTTCCATCACTTCATTCTTCCTGAACTATTCCCTATTTTCTCGTGGCTTCCTGAACTTGAAAGAACCAGTGGCATTACAAACCTTCAGATTTTAGTTCCCTCGTCTTACTTTTTCTATCAGAATCCACAGTCAGCAGTCAGCCTTACGTGGCCTCCTTACAAGAAAGAGCTTCGGTCGAAAGCGGTAGTTCGTCAGGTTTTTTCGCACGAATCCCAGCTCTCAGAGCTTAAGTTCTTTGAACAAATTCAACTTTTGTGGCTATCATTGCCACATAAAGCGTCATGGCCTTCAGATTAGACTAGTTTATGGAAAAGTCATCCCACTAGCACAAACGGCTGCAAATGAGAACTTCAATCGGCTCTATCCCACCTGAGCTCATCAGAAACACCATGAAAGCTGCCACTTTCTCTTCTGAATTTGAATTATCTTGTGCCACAAACTTCGACCAGAAACATCACCTTTATTCCTCTGGATGGATTATTAGATCTGACCTCTGTTAATGGCAGAAAATGAAAGTGATAGGGAAGGGATCGCATATTTATAACAATGGTATGACGTTCAAAAAAAGAAAGCAGCCACTTCTGTTTCGAAAAATATGGGCGCGAGTGGAGGGCGTAGCCAGAATCCTATTTAGACGGGTCATTTTTGAACATGCGAGAGCCCGTAGTAAAGACATCTACGCTTTGAACGTTTTCTTGCTCAGCCAGCGCTCTTTAATAGTTGACAATCATGGATGACCACTTGCGCTGAAGTACTCATTTACGGAATTCAATTTGTCGACGACTAAATATAGTATGCAGCAATTTTTCAAATGAACTTCTTGATAAATAAGTTCGCAGCCGTACGGTCGGGCAACACCGCAACTTACAAAAAAGTCTTTGGGCCGATTGATACCTAAGGTGTCTATAAGTCTGCGAGTAGCCCCTGCTTTCGTTCTGCCTGCTTTCATAGTCCACGATTTGGCGAGCGACCAGTCGCAGACCCATCGAGCGAGCGACCGAGCGACCAGTCGCGCGATCGATTGCGCGACTGGTCGCTCGGTCGGACTATGAAAGCAGCCTCTGAGGCGTATGGGATCAAATGTACCTGTACCACCATACCTATACCAAACAGGCACCAGTATATGTAGTTCTAGATCGAGACATAGTTAGGAGGGTAGTGTAAGTAACTCACAGCTGCGTCGACACCTGCGCTCATTGTACTTCTTCTCTTGTCCGGCACTCTTGGACTAGCCAGGTGGACACGTAATTGGAAAAACTGGAAATTCTGAATTACCTCCGACTTTAACTTCTATAGTAGTAACTCAAAATCATTTTAATTTATACGCGTCAGAAGTAACTTAAAGCTTACATGAAAATAATTTTATAAAGAAACGGCGAGATGATGGCGAGGTTATGAATGAATGTAACTTAGAAGAAATGTAATAGAAAAGCGGCCGCCATATGGGGAAGTAAAGGGCTCAGTGAGGGTTCAGCGGTAGCCAAGGAAGTAACTGAGCGCGAAAGTGCTCTACACGCAAACCCACCCAAGACCTCTGATCAAAGCCTTTGTTCGCTTCTAACCAGGCAAATTATCATCGACTTGAAGTGAATTCTAACATATTCGTGTATTTCTGATGCATACCTCTCTTTTGGACCATTATCATTCCTCATATCTCATTCTTCATATCAGTTTCATTAGCTGAAACGCAAAGATCAGCCACGGTTGATCTAAACGAATCGAACGCGATATCAGTTGATGGATCGATCGTATTCAAGAAATCGGAAGCGTGAGTTAGTCGGAAATACGAAAGAGTAAGCCAACTGGGAAAGATGACTTTAATTGTTGAATAAGTCTTTCAATGGAAGTGAGTGAGATACCGTTCCTCTACCGAACCGTACCAGTTAGGGAAACTCATAACAATGCACAACCTCCACACCGCCTTCCACATCTTTCTCTCATGCGATTCATTCCTGTTACAAATGCCAAGCAATTTGCCCTATCCGAAGTATTCAAATAAAAACTGCTTCGAGTAAATTCCGTCATTCCAGAATCTACATTGTAGTTCAGTCGATTTACAAGTCGGAAGCCATCAATTAACAGTTCTAGCTTATCTTTTTGAGTTACATGAATACTTCTAAAATGGCCTACGCTCATTGGAGGCGTGATGATCTCAAAACGGATAGTTTAGAACCTAATATTTTACCATTTTTTCTCAGAATATGCAAAATTCCTTCAATAAGTTGCTCCTGCTCAACGGTTTACCCTCTGTCGTACTCCTTCTCTTTCAGTACCCATCGCCGATACTATTAAGCCGAGGTCATACGTGTTGATCCTACACTCTTTCGTGATAGTTTCGATAGTTTTACTTGAGCCGCTATCGTAGACTTTCCGTTTATACTCTCTTAAACACACAGATTCGTCAACTGTGAAATATCCATGCCATCTTCAACAAACATCGATCATATTCCTTCTCAGGAACTAGCTCTAGTAGAAGTTCACATAGAGTACCCGAAGATTTTCAAATGCCCAGAGTTGTCCTAATGGACATTCGAGAGTAATTTGATCAGTCAAGTTTCAAACAACTCCGCCCACCTTTCTCTCTTACCGCTCTTTCCTTACCCTTTCCGTTCCAGCTCCCACGCCGCTCCTACGTGGCTACCTATTTTCACACCGTCCAAAACATATTCATTTGAAAAAAAAATCATACGGCAGAAGTTTGAGGATCTTTCGATTCAATGCATACTAATAGCCGAAATTTGCATAAATATGAGAATGACGTGCTGCCTACAGTGATACACTTTTTTCCTTTCTTCTGGAAGTCTTTCGGTTCGCACTTTCTTCTACGATTAGCTTTGGTGAAATTCATTGCACTCGTTTCCTCCTTTACTCTTCTCTAAGCTTCTGAAAGACTAAAAATCACTTTTCAGATGATTCTCTATCGATTTTCTATACTGTGCCTGCTGCTCAGTTCGGTAGCGATAGCCAAGCGAGGTGGCGGATCGCACGGAAGAGGACGTTCACGGGCACGATCCTCCTCTACATCGCGATTCACGCGGAAGTGGGTTTTGCACAGTTCCTACAGACTTCAAAAAGTTGAAATGACTGCAGATTCTGACCTTCCAGATTTGCTAAGACTGGTTCAATTGAGCGAACGTCATTATTTCGATCGACCGTGTTTGGAGCTGCAGCTGGCTATCTGACATTCAGTGCTGGAAGGCATATCATCAACGATCCGTACCGGCCTATAATGTAAGTCAGTGAAGCCCTCTCCCTTTCTGCGCTTGTAATAAATGCGCTTGTTCATGGAAAATTTTGGTCCTTCCCAGATTGTAAGCACTTCCGATTTCCGATACTCCAAACTTCGCCGGAAAAATTGCATTTGGTCCCTAGCATATGGATTTCTGTGTCGTTTTTTAACATGCTAGTAACATCGAATTATAATGTCTCCTCCCCACTCTCGAACAAAGAATCACCTACATCCGAGAGATATCCTGGAGGCTCTACGATCCGAAAAACAATTGATGAGGTTTATAGTCAATCAAAAGTTAATTGCCCGTCAAAAGGTCTCTTCGCTTCATTGCCATACAGGCAGGAAACGCCATTTTCAATTACGACATCAATGACCCGTTCAGGTTGGCAGACATTCAGCGAAAACCGGTCGCATCTTATGACACACTCTCCATGAGCGTAGCATGACCGACCTGAGAAAGATATGTAACTACCACGAGATGTTAGCCATTGTGCATTTCCACCGTTACTGAATGCTTGAGCTACTTATTAGGTTGAGTAAAAAATTTTGATCGACTTTTCGTCCCATTCTAGATTTTTTCGTAGGACCGTTCGGAAGGACTTCGTAATGGATTATGGTAGACCGATCCCTGACCTGTATTTTTAAAAGGATATATAAGCATCCCCTTGGAAGTGCTTCGCAAAAATGACTTCAACCTTGAACTGGCGTCCGAAGCTGTCTGAGAGCTATCGTCTATCGGATTACTATAAGGGCATAATCCACCGTCGGCTGTCGCAAATATCTGTGGTGCATCCAGAAGAGTTATCGTATCCCAGCCCACGGGTGCTTCATGACGAAACATCTCCAAGACAAGCAGAGAAAAAGGGACTATGTCTGAGGAAAGTCTTACTGTGTCGTCGGTGGACGTTCTCAGGGAATGCTCTACTTTGGATAACTTGCTGAGGGTTCCACCGTGATCACCGGGACTTACGCTTCTCAGCTACAGAGGTTGGCCGACGTTGTTCGAAAGAAGCGTCCGCAGCGTGAAAATGTTTGCCTTTTTGACGACAGCGCTCAACCCCATGTTGCGAAATTGTTTTATCAGTAAGTTGCCGAACTTCGATATGCAGTGCTGCCCCATTCCACTTATTCGTCAGGTCTCGCTCCATCTGACTACAATTTGTTTCTTGCTCTGAAACATCAGCTTCGCGACAGAAATTTTGGATGATTGCTCGGAACTCAAAAATGAGATCTCCAGCTCTTTTGAATCACGGCCGCCACCGTTCTGGGCTTCAGGAGTCAAGAAACTGCCGGATCGCTAGACGTATGTTGAGAACAGCGATGGAGACCATATTCCTGATTGAGATCCTCTTCCAATGTTAATAAGACTTTTCGAATTGAAAATTGAAAAGCCGATCAAAACTCTTTACTCAACCTAATACTTCTAGAAATGCTTCCCTACAACACTCTGGCCGTACCTCCATATAAGTATCCCTTCTTGTACCACTGGAAGCGGATTACAGAAATCATCTAAGTTCTTCAAAACCTGGACTGACTGCTGTGGTCTGTGGTCATCCTCATTACGTCATACAGGGTGAAAGTTCGGGAAAAGATGTTGTCCATTGTAGTGGCCCTTTCCGCAGTGGCAACCGTTCACGTCGCACAGCTGATGAGATCTCCGTCAGCTCTCTGGCTATGTTCGGCTTGGCTGGCAGCACTTCTGTTAACTTCCTATGCTCCCAGCTTACCCAGAAATTCCATGAGAACCCCAATTGTGACAAAGTATCTTGGCTGAGACGTGAGCTGATACATGAAAGTTGGTCAGGGCGTTCTGCCAGGAGGATCCACCTTAGATCTACTCTCACAATGGATATTTTTGGATAGTAAGCCAAGGTTTTGCATTCCGTTCGAAAGACACACTTGTCATTCGGGGGACACATTCGAGATGAGACTAACTGGTGTGACTTATGACCCACAAGTGTCACACGTGACGAAGTGCTGCATTCTCGAACAGAGCTGCGTTCAGACCTAATGGCGCACAACTGTGCTATTTATGACTATAACATTCAAAACTTAACGGACAGGGGAGAAGAATTGGGTAAACTCAGATTCGATTCCAGGCTACAGTCCAGATGGCAATAGTTGAAGTTTAGGTTCGGCTCTCGTTCGTACTACTGGAACGCCGAACTGCAAAAGCCAACAGAAGAGTTACCGGTGCAGTGCGTGAACAAAATCGATCCCCAGGATCCACAATTCGGTCGGGTACGCTTTTTNTTTTTGCTTTGAATATGACTCATTTGTCCAAAGTTGCTCACTGACTTATTTCAGGTCTACTTCTCAAATGATACACGTCCCACGGAAATTGCCTATGGTTGTGCAGAAGGCGATTACTGCTGTGGATACGATTGTTGTCAAGAGGGAACGTTCTTCACCAGCTTATTGTTGGTTGTTTACTGTAATTGTCTACAGTACTAGACAGCTGATCTTTCGTATGTTTTACTTTCAGCCGTCTCCTGGTATTCATCTTGGTGTTGTCCGTGCTTGGAGTGATTTGCATTGAGGCTTTTCGATGGATACTGAACTGCATATACATGTGTAAATATGGCCATCCACGGGATGTTGAACCGCTTAGTATTTAAATTGTGAGTTCAACTGATCTTGCCACCGCATCCCGTCATTTCCTTCAAGCGAGTGATCTTCGGACCTAATGGCCACGCTAAGCAATACCTAACTTTACGCGAGTTGTGGATATGTAAGAGTGGACCGCTGAGCTGAACCTATTAAGAGTTAAGCCACCAGTCTTTCATTGACCCTTCAAAAACACTGAGCTCTTCAACTCGGAACGCAGCTACAGAATATCTGCAATGGTAAGATTAATCAGGTGGTAAATGAGAGTATACATGATAGAAGGCGCTGGGAGTAAGCCACATAGTTGATTCACAAGTAAATGAGAGCTCTTCTCCCCTCTATCTGGACTTGTTAGGGGGAGTAACATCACGCCTTCACTCCGTTTCTACTTTTCACTAATAGAATGCAGACAACGAAGTCATCGTCACCGCATGACCGGCTTCTGACGATGCTGTTAAGAATTATGTCCCAACTTAATAACTTTTGAGGAACCTTCTCGATTTGTTCGACGAACGTCTTCATTAGCATTTGCCACTCACACCCAAGTAATTCAACCTCAACTCTCAGGAGTAACCACAGTTCGCGATGCCTCCTGCAAAGCTTCTGGTTTACTCCTTATCGAGATATTCCTTCAACAGAAGCCTTACTGTGGCCCAGCTTGCGGCTCTCACGCGGGGAGAAAGGGTAGTCTAAAGAAAACTTTTCTGATTCCGAGCACAGTATCTTCGTTCTCCTTGTTCACAAGGTTGAGCTCTCGTCAGTCTGTATCGGAGTGGCGAGTGATATTACAATGAGGACATATTGTACTTGAATAACTGTTTTCGGTACTATGTTCCTCATAGAGGCCTTTAAAGGTCTTCATTAAATCGGCCTCGAGCGAGAATATCTCTCTTAGGAATTTCTGCCCCAAAGTGCTGAGAAAATATCGTTCCGCTAGTACAATTTCAGTTCGGTCCGTAGTCATAACAATTAATTTTTTTCTAAAATATATATTACAGACCCTGCCATTCATCTCATCACGTGCCTTCTCACAACGAGTCCCAAACTTCAACTAAACGCCTAAATACTGTGATGCCAAGACTGCGAATCTTCGTTCTCAAGAAAACGGGTGTTACCAATCCTTTTAGGAGTAACTATTTTGTTGTAGAGCAATAATGCAGCCAAGCCAAATGATGCCTTACACAAGCTCTTTCCTGGATAAATCTCATTTCTATATTTATTTATTTGCAGTGAAGATCAGGAACTCTTTTCACAGTTGCATTTATAGTCAGCTAGCTTATAGCTAGTTTCAGCTGCAGCAAGGAGAAGTCTACCCTGTGCAGATATTCAGCCTTAATCATTTTAACTAGAAAAAATAATGTTGACGATGCCAATGTCTAAATACCAGCGTATTGACAATAAAACCATCTGCATCCACAAAATCAATTCAGATATTTTGCACGGCCCATTCGCGACTCTGAACGCGCATATATTATAAGCGCTACTAGCGGAACAAAATGTTTTCAGAGGAACCAAATCGCTAGTTTTGATAACTGCACTCACCCTTAGCCTATCAGCTTCCTTCCAGTATTTCTCCGGAGTGAACATTAGACAAAAAGACTAAGAAAAGGTTACAGTGGTAAGAACGTACTACATGTTTCGTAAGTCCGTTTATGGAATGTCGGGAACGATTTGGTGATGTCCTTACGATGTACTAGATAAAATCAACTGCTTACCCTCAGGGAGCAGTACTTACTTCTACCCTCAATAGCAGTCCACATTTGCAGCACTTGTCCCACCTACAATTGCTACCTTGGTAAAAATAAATCCAGTGCTGG